TCTGGGGAGCTGTTCGGACCCCAAACTACTAGTTCTCCAGCCACTCGGCTCTTGCGAGTCCGCCCACATGACAAGGGCAACCTTCACATGGGGACACTCAATGGGGTGTTGGTTGAGAACGCCCCATGTGGCTGGTGGCAGGAACGGACGAGGGGGGGCGGATAGGAGCAGGACGAGACCTGGCAGGGGATATGCACCAGGAGAGAGATCATGGAGGAAGAGGAGGGGAGGGGACGAGAGGCACTCATAATTAAGCGCACGCAGGCCCACGCACGTGCCCCATTTCTCAGCGACCGCCGCGCCGCCATGAGAACTGTCGCACCACCGCCGCTACTGCGGCGGATGCGTGACCTCTCCCATCCCTGTCCTGCGCTGTTTCTGCTACCACCCTCCCCCCTCCCAGCCAAGCTCGGGTTTCAAGCTCGGAGACGGGCGCGGCTGGCGGCTCTTAGTGCGGGTGCGCGTGCTGCCTCCAACTCCTCATCTCCCTCCTCCTCCTCTCCTCATCCTCCCTCCTCTTCCTCCTCATCCTCCTCTATCGGCCCAGCTCCGATCGCCGCTCAGCTCTCCTGGTGCGGCTGGCGGCAAAAATCCCGAATATTGCCTGGGATGTCCTTCGCCGTCTTCTTCGACATCTCAAGCATCATCTTGCCCTTCCCCTCGGTACGGCGCGCCTCCTCCATCATCTGCCGCGCCTGGTCGACGAGCATCTGGCCCTTCTCCCCAACGGCGCGCGCGTGGCGGCAACGATTGCGCCACTCGATAAACCGCACCACCATGGTCGCCCAGCTCCAAACACTGCCATCCGTCGCGATGAGCTCGAAGTCATCGACGTCGCGCTTGCCCGCGATGCTCGCCATAGCGGCGCAAGGCCGCGAAGGAGCCTCCTCTGGCAGTCCCCGCTGCCGCGGAGACTTCGGCAGAGGCCCCCGCGCGGTTCCGTCGCGGAGGCGGGCGGGCGCGGCGGGAGGCAGACCTGCAGCGGCTGCGGCTTCGCTTTATCGCATTTCCATCCCTCCCTGCACTCACATGGCTTTTCCCATTGCGCCAGTCTGCTGCTCCCACTTCTGAACTACCTCATCCCTTCTACCTCCATCTGCACCCTCCTCTTCCTGTTCAATCCTCCCTCCTCCCTCCACCGTGCTCATTTCTCCTTGCTCCCTTCTCTGCTCCTCCTACGTGGGGCGTTTCACGACAACGACGAGGACGATGACCACGACGGCGACAACGAGGACAACGACGACCACGACGACGACGACGAGGACGATGACCACGACGGCTACCAGCGACGACGACTAGCGACGACGACGACCGACGACGACGACGCCGACCACGACGACGATGGCGACGACGACAACGAGCGACGACGACAACGACAATCGACGCCGACGAGGAACGACGACGACGAACGAGGACGACGATTACGACGACGAGATGACGAAGGTTCGAAGATCGAACCTCGAAGTGCGAAGCTTCGAAATTCAAACTTCGATCTTCGAACTCCGAACTTCAAACTGCGAACTTCGCTGGGGCGCCAGGGACGCAATGGGATGGAGAGAAACATGGGAAGGAGAGAACGAGGAAGCGGGAGAGGAAGTTGGAGGAGAACGAACAGGCGTGGAGCGACGAGGAACGGGCGGCGGCGGGATGGGGGGACAGGGAGGAGAGGGAAGACTTCAGAACGAAGACCGCGCCACGGCGCCTGCACGCGCGCTCCCGATCTCGGCGGCCGACGCGCGCGCCCCTGCCGAAATGCGACGCGCCCTTCATTCGAGCCCCGCTGCTGCGGAGCCATCTACTCCGCAACCAAATCGTCTGGGGAGCTATTCGGCCCCCAAACTACTGGTTTGCCAGCCGCTGCTGCGGACGCCGAGGGCCCGGTGCTGGACGCCGCGGCCCCGCTGATGCGGGGCCCCTGAGAAGGCGCCGGCCTCCCCTTCTCTCTGGCGGCGTCGAACTTGACCTTGCGCATTTACGCTCCACACCGAGGTCCTTGTACCAGCGATAGGTTCCTGACCCGTCGCTCCCGCCCAAACCCGCGGCCGGTGGCCTCACCGTGTCCGCGCGGGGCATGAGGGGCAGAGCTTCGACCTTCCTGTCGCCCCAGTGCGGGTGTAAGCGGACGCCTGTCCCGTCGTCGCGGTGCAACACGAAATCCCACATCGGCAGATTCACTTTCACCCGCTGCCCCGCGAACTGTCGCGCGCGCACAATACTCCGGCGCACGCGGTCGTAGCTGTTTGGCCGGACTTCGAGGGAACAGCCGATCAGAGCCCCGCTGCTGCGGGCCCCCCCCACGACCTCCCTGATATCTTCCTCCCTGAGCGTCGCCACCATCTCTTGCCACCGCCAAGGGACTTCCTCGTTGCTTTTGAAACCAAAGCTCGTTCTCGCACCGTGGTCGCAAACAGCGACCATGGTGGGCTCCGCATTGTCAAACCACTTGGCTTCTGACTCGAACGGGGCAGTTGGGTCTTCATTCAGATGGCGCCACCATTTCAACGCTTGGTTGTGTTGCTTAAACGAAGTGCCGAGCCTCTCTTCATAACTCAAAAAATAATTAACATCGAACTTCTCAAAATCCTGGGGCCCGCGCGCCGCCGCCGCTGCGGTGGCGCGGGGCTCCTGCGCCGCAGGCGCGGCTCGGGATCCCGACCCCTCTCCTGAAACTGTGTTCCCAGGTTCTGGTGAGTTTCGGAGGGCAGCCCTCACGAAATTATCGAATTCGGGCATGCCGAGACCAGGGGCGCGGGGGCTCACAACGCTAAGCGCGGCGAAGCGAGACGGCCGTTGAGGCGAGACCGCCGCCGCTGCTGCGGCGGCAGGGCCATCGCGCCATTTGGCGTCCTCCGTTGGCGTGTGCCCGTCTTGTCGCCAGTCTCTCCAACCCCTCGCTGACCAATCATGGCCGTCCTCCCAGCCACGCCAGCCGCTGCTGCGGCTATCCCACCATCCTCCCGCGCCACCCCATGTGCATCCGCCTGCATCGCCCATTGCAAGACGATGGCGCAGGCGCGCGTTAGGCCGCGACGGGCCCGGCTGCACCGGTGCTCGCGGGCGATCCCACGGGCGCGGGGTGGTTTGAGCATAGCGGCGGCGGACGACGCGACGTGATTGGACGGCGGAGAACTTGAAAGGAAGGGGGGTTGGAAACGAATGAACGAAGTGGACGAAGAGCGGAAATCGAACCAGAGGGGAGGCGAAAAAAGAGCGGAAGAGAATAAGGACATGCAGACGAAGGAGAGTGACGAGGTAGATGGCGGGCCAGAACGGCAACGGAGGATAATGTGGTGGAAATTGTGAAAAGGACGCATGGAAAAACACGACGAGGATCACAGACGCAAAGATGATGAGCGCAGTGGTAGCATGACATATCCGAAATCAAGAAGCAGGATGACGAGGAACGGGATGACGAGCAACTCTGTCGCAGAGAGCCTCCGAACGCACCCCCTCTGTCACAGAGGGCCTCCGAACGCGCCCCCTCTGTCACAGAGGGCCTCCGAAAAACACCCCCTCTGTCACAGAGGGGGGAAATGATCACTTTAATGCGGCTTCTGGATTAATTAATTGCACAACTCCGAAAACCGAGCCCGGCACGACAAAACAAAAACGAAAAAGGTTGCACAACTTGTCCGTTCCCAATTCAAAAACTGCACAAATCGTCAATTCTCTTCCAAAAAGCCCGACGAAGCGGAAAAGGTTGCGCAGCTCGTCGGTTCCCATGCAAAAAAAGCTACGCAGGTCGTCAATTCTCATCCAAAAATTGCGCAAGTTCGAAAGCCGAGCGCAGCCCGACAAATGAAATAACAAAAAAAAACGCGTGCTTTCGAACATACCAGCCTTTTCATCGGATTTCATGTGCGATCAACGGTTGATCTCGTTGGCATGCATAATTTCTTACTTCTGCCGTCTGGATCGTAAGTCTAACTTCATAAATTTAGAACATATTGTTAACATCCACATTCGCCGTTAACGCGGCGACCCGTGTCGACCGAAACAACCCGAGTGCAGTCGCTGAACAGATTCTGACTTCCAAAGGAGCTCGCACTGTAAATGCGCACGTTGTTTTAACAGTCGATCGCGCGCGGTTGCCAGCGGCGCGCGATGGCCGACGTCGGGCGGCGGCAACGATGCGCCGGCCGGCCGGGCGGGCGGGCGAGGCGGGCGCGCCTGCGGCCCCGACGTCGTCGCCGGGCTTCGTCGTCGCGATTGAGATCGCCGCCTCCAGCCCTGCGCGCGAGGGTGGCCAGGCGGGCGATCAGGCCAGGCAAGGGAGGTCGGAGCAGGCGCTATGGGCGGGGGGAAGGAGGCGGCGTCGCTCGAGGGGGGGCCCGAGCAAGGCGAAGAGGGGGGGGGGGCGGCGATGGGGGATCTGGCAGGAGAGGGGACCTCGACGCGTCAACCGACGCAGCGCTCAAGCCTGACGGGGTGGTCGGCGCTGGCGCCATGGGCCAGGGAAAGACAGCTGCGTCGCTCGAGAGGGCCAGGGCAGGGCGAAGAGGGCGGGGTGGGCGACAGGGGGTCTGGCGGGAGAGGGGAAGAACGCAGCGGCGCCCAGATGAGGGGGGGGGCAGGCGAGGGGCAGGAGCGGATGCTCGCGAGACGGGAAGTCACACAGTCGCCCCATCGACGCGTCACCCGGCGCATGGGCGCGTTCACTGCGCGGGGGCCCTGCCTGCAGATCCCGCGACGGCGCGACGTGCGGCGCGACCTCGCCCGCCCGCCGCAACGGGCCCTGCAGGCGGGCGCCTGCGCGCGCGCGCGAGGCCCGCTCTCGCTGGCCCAGGCGGGGGCGCTTGAAACCAAAGATGGTGCTCGCCCTAGCCGGCGACCACGCGCGAAAACCGTTGCAACCCTGCAGGTCAGCGGCATCTGAGACGCAGGCTGGGGTTCAGACTCTGGGGGGGTGCATGTAGTCTGGAGGGCGCCCCCCGCCCCTGGCGGGAGTGTCCGGAGCCCCCCGCGCGTCGGTTCGACTTGCAGGGGCGGGGTTCGCACGCCGGCGCGAAACTGACGTTCTGGCCCCTCGCCGCGTCGTCGATGCCCACCCAGGCCACGGGCGCGCACGGCAGCCAGCCCATCGCGACGCGGAGCTCGCTCGTCACCTGGGGGGCGCCACCCCGACGCGAATGCCCGCGCCCACCCCCCGCGGGGCAAGGGGCGCGCGATGGGCCCGCGACCCTGATCCGAGGCGCAGAGGCTATCGCTTGCAACGCGCCCAACAGAGCGGGAGGGGGGACATGCCTACGCCCACGGCCTACGATAGACCCCCGATCGCCATCTGCACAGTCGAAGACTCCGAGGTGCGGAGCACATGATCGCGAACATCGCCGTCGCGATCGCAGGTGACATGGGACATGGAGGTGGACCGCGCCCGCATCGCGCTCGACGTCCGCGGCGTCGATCTCGATCGCGGCGGGCGCGACGCGGCGCGTGCAAACCTCGGCATCCGCTGTCGCCGGGCTCACAGGTTACGGCGGCCCGACCCGCCCGCCCCCCGCCCCGCCATTCCCCCCCCCTCCGGGCGGGAAGAATGGGGGGGCAGACAGCAGGCGCCAGCCATCGATGATCTTGGGGTCGAGCAGGCGACTCCATTGCGACGAGCCGCCCGATCGCCTGACGGCCGCGCTCGACCGCTGCAAGGCCACGGCAGGGAGCCCGCGCCAGCGGTCGACTGATCGAGCGAGCAGACCATCTGGGACCGATCGACAGATCGCCCAGACATCGCGATCGATCCGGTCCGCGCACAGCGCCGCGCCCACGGCCGGGATCCGTTCGTCGGCTTCCACGCGAGCCCGTGGCACACAATGAAAGAAGGGCGCCACGCACGACGACTTGTGGTGCTTGTAGAGGCCGTCGCGCACGCTGCCAAGGCCCAGGCGCATCGTGCCCTCGCCGGCCGCGACGCGGTCGGCCTGCCATTTCGGCAGCACCTTCCAGTCCACGTGCTGGTTCGGGTCCTGTTCGTCGACCTGGAACTCGGCGTACTCGAAGACGTCGCCGTTCAGCGCCGCCATGCGCCGCGGGCCACAGGTTGCAGGCGAAAGGGGGCGGGGCGCGACAGCCCGATTTGCCTGGGCGCGCAATTGAGCCCGAGCAGCTACCGAAGGGCGCCACAACACCCCCCTAGTGCCTCCCCGTGGCCCCAGCCGGCTCACGGCGAACTCCCGAAAGCCTCAATCGGCCCCCCCAATGTTCCGGGATGGCTTGCAGCGGCCTCCAGCTGCCGGCCGCGAATCTCAAGTCGAAGACATCGCGTCAGCCGCGCAGCAGCGCAAGCTCTCTGGAGGGCCCCAGGGGAGGAGGCGCGACGACAAGGATCAACACACAAACAACGTGCACTTCCCCGTTCCAACTCGCCGGATTCACAACAAAAAACATGCGTCGCCATGAATTTGTTAATAACGAGGTGTCCAACGTGAACCGAAAACCAAACCGAATGCAAGCGCTGCACACATAAATTGATCCAAGGAATTCTTTATCTACTTGCAGGCGAGCTCGCACGCGGAAAACGCACGCGTGGTCACCCTTGAGCTTCCAGGGACCCCGGCCAAGCCCGCGCGGACCAAATTTGGTCCGCGCGGTGGGCCCCCACGGGGCCCCGGTCGAGCCCACGCGGACCAAATTTGGTCCGCGCGGTGGGCCCCCACGGGCCCTGGCAGAACCCGCGCGGACCAAATCCCACCAGCCCTTTGGGCGTGAGTGGTTTAGCCCGCTCTGTTCTCAACCCCCCTTTTTCCCCTTCGGGGAGGGGTTTACCCCTCCCCCTCCCCCCTCCCCCTGGGCCTGGAGAGGTCCCTCCGCGGGTCGTCGGGGGGGTCATGTTCGACTCCTGGGAGGGCCAAAAAACGACACCCCTCACGAGGATTATGGCCCCGACGGGGGGGGTCGGAAAAAATGCTCCCCCCTTCTTTGAAGCCAAAATCATTGATTTTACTACGGTTTTGGCCCCATTTTGGCCTTCTGAAAGGGGGCAGCGCTAATTAAAGCTCCCCTTTTCCTCGAAGCCAAAATCCTTGATATTACTAAGGTTTTGGCCCAATTTTGCCCTTTTGAAGGGGGCAGCGGTAATTAAAGCTTCCCTCTTCTTTGATCGATTTCCTCCAAGATGGCCCCAAGAAGCGCCCAGGAGGCACCAAGAGGCCCCAAGATGGCCCCAAGAGGCCCCCAGGAGGCCCCCAAGAGGCCTCCAAGAGGCCCCCAATATGCCCCCAAGAGGCACCCAAAGGCCCCAAGAGGCTCCCCCGAGGCACCCAAGACGCTCCTGGAAGCCCCTGGGGCCGCCAAGAGGCCCCCAAGACGCCCCAAACGGCCTCCAAGAGGCCCAAGAGCCCGAAGAGGCTCCCCCAAGGCACCCAAGACGCTCCTAGAAGCCCCTGGGGCCGCCAAGAGCCCCAAGACGCCCCAAAAGGACGAGGTGCCCGAACGCCTCACGCCACGAGGAGCCCGAACGACTCACACCAGGACGAGGGGCCCGAACGACTCACACCACGAAGAGCCCGAACGACTCACACCAGAGGGCCCGAACGACTCACACCAGGACGAGGCGCCCGAACGACTCACACCACGAGGAGCCCGAACGACTCACACCACGACGAGGGCCCCGAACGACTCACACCACGAGGAGCCCGAACGAGTCACACCAGGAGGAGGGGCCCGAACGACTCACACCAGGACGAGGGGCCCGAACAACTCACACCACGAGAAGCCCGAACGACTCACACCAGGACGAAGAGCCCGAACGACTCACACCACGAAGAGCCCGAACGACTCACACCAGGAAGAAGGGCCCGAACGACTCACACCAGGACGGAAACCCCAAACGACTCAAACCACGAGGAGCGCTTTCTCTCCCTCCTCCTCCGCCTCGTCCTTCTCCCGCTCCCACCACAAGGAGGATGTACAAGGAGGCGGGAGGAAGGAGGAACAGGGGAGATATGCGGGGGCAGGCGGAAACACGCCTGAAAAACACGACTGTCGGCATGCTTCGCAAGACTTGCTGTTTTGAGATGGGCTGGTGGGGATACGCGAAGCGTAAAGAATTTGGTCCGCACGGTGAGCCCCCACGGCGCCAGGCAGAATCCGCGCCGTCAAATCTGGTCCGCGCGGCGGGCCCCCCACGGCCCCCGGTCGAGCCCGCGCGGGCCGAATTTGTTCCGCACGGTGGGCCCCCGCGGGCCCTGGTCGAGCCCGCCAAACCTAATCTGGTCCGCAGGGTGGGCCCCTACGGACCCTGGCCGAACCTGCGCGGACCAAATGTGGTCCGCGCGTTGGGCCCCCACTGGCCTTGGCGGGACCCGTGCGGACCAAATTTGGTCCGCACGGTGGGCCCCCGCAGGCCCTGGCTGAGCCCGCGCAAACCAAATTTGGTCCGCGCGGTGGGCCCCCACGGACCCCGGCAGAACTCGTGCGGACGAGATTTTGGTCCGCGCGGTGGGCCCACCAGGCCCCCGGTCGAGCCCGCGCGAACCGAATCTGGTCCGCACGGCGGGCCCCCGCGGGCCCCGGTCGAGCCCGCCAAACCAAATCTGGTCCGCAGGGTGGGCCCCTACGGGCCCTGGCCGAACCTGCGCGGACCAAGTTTGGTCCGCACGGTGGGCCCCCGCGGGCCCTGGCTGAGCGGCGCCCGATGGCCGACGGTGTCCGATGACCGACGCGGGGCGCGCCCGATGGCCAGCGGCGCCCGATGGCCGACAATGGTCGAAGGCGAAGAGGGCGAGGAGCGGCAACGGAAAATCTAGTGGGTGAGTGGAAGGACGCGACGATGCTTGAACGAGGGAGGCGGAGGCAGACCCCTGGGCAAAGTTTCTGTCTGAAGCTGCGGACCGTAAAGCGGGGCCCCGCGGATGTCGCGAAAAACCGTGCTCAAAGTTTAGGGGCGCCCCCAAAAAAGGCCAGCGACAGCAACAAAACAGCCAGCTAAGACGAGGGCGCCGCGGATAACGCAAACTGGTGACACGTTCAGAGGAACTGCGACAGGGCAGAAGCGTCGAATCCCCGGAGCGGAACGCATCCCCCCCGGCGAAGAGGAGGACGGAAGGGAAAAGAGGGAGCGAGCAGCGAGGACGCCCAAACTGCCAGCTCAGGCGGGGCACTGTGGCGGATTAGCCGGAGGCAAATAGATAAGAGAAACCAGCAGCATAGCAATAAACACGGGAGGTGTGGAAGTACTCTGCTCGCGCCGTGCGACCACAGGCATGCGCGCCTTTGCTCCGGCCCATTGTAACAATGCCCATGCAAACTCAGCTGCGCCAGTCGGCTTATTAATCTCTTTGGCGTGGCGCTTATCTGCTTTACTCAAGGACTCTATGGCTGCCGATCGGTCTTCGCCGTTCCCAGAGGGTGCTGCCTGCCCCTTTTGGGGGTTTACCTCAATGGGTGCCTTCAGGCAGTTTCAAACTTAACAAAGCAATATGTTCTCGATTTTAAACAATGGTCCTGCCATCGCTTGCGTATGACGGCACAGCGTGTTTCAACGTAGGGCCAAAAGTTTTTTCTGCCGAGTTGTTCGGGCAATTCTTTCATCTGCGTAATTACACACGAGAGCCACTGTTTTAACAGCGCAAACATTCTCTCCGTCACTGATATGCTCAAGACATGCACGTTTCTCCATGGTGTTCAAGTTTACTCAACACAAGACCTGAGAGGCTGTGTGAGAACCTGTTGAGCCGAAATGGCTACGGTGGTTCCCATCCTTCTGCAGGTTTTTGAAGGCTTGGGATTTGTTGGCATTTTCTAATTAAGAACGGCTCCAGGATGCTGTGGAGGCCTCCAAGATAATCCCAAGATGGCCCAATAACCCCCTCAAGACGGCCCCAAGTCGGCCCCGGAGAGCCCCATGAAATCCCCACATGACACCATACCGACCAAGTTTGGTCGGCATGGGCTCTCGAGGTCCACCTGGGGAGGCCAGAACCTTGCATCTTCCTTTAGCTTTAAATTGATTTTGGGTTGCCCGCTTTTTTATGGCCAAGAGCGGTTCCAGAATGCTGTGGAGGCCTTCAAGATCATCCCAAGACGACCCAATAGCCTCTCAAGAGGGCCCCAATACGACTCCAAGACAACCCAGGAGGGCCCTGAGACATCACCACATGAAACCATACCAACCAAATTTGGTCGGCATGGGCTCCCGAGGTCGACCTGGAGAAGCCATAATCTTTTATTTCACTTTAGTTTTTGATGGATTTTGAATTGCCCGCTCTCTCTGGCCAAAAGCGGCTCCAGAATGCTGTGGAGGTATCCAAGATCATCCCAAACAGCCCCATGGCCCCCCTCAAGAGGGTCCAAAGACGGCCCAAGACGGCCTCGACGACGACGATTGCCTCGACGACGACGACTTGGACGACGACGACGGGGGTCTTGCCCGGGGGCCGTTTTTCATCCCAAATCCGTTTTTGAGGACCCCGGGGCCCGAAAACGGTCCCCGGAAAACGAAATCGAG